AAAAATAACTATGCAGTGTTGTGTTAACATCCATAACAAACAATGAAACAAGTTCTGTTTCAATAACTCTGAAACCTTTCACACCTGCCCGTAGTTGTCGATTCCCGAGATGAGGCGGTTGAGGTTAAGCAGGTCGAAGGCGGTGCGAAGAGCGTGTCCTAATGTTGTGAGCCCGGACGCCTGCAGATTCTTCAGCTCGCACATGAAAGTGGCATGGTTCTCCTTCCAGCCGGCCTGAAACACAAGCAGTGCAGAGACATGTGTTAAAGGCACAAGCAGTAGCGAAGGAGGTCTGAAGTCACTGTTCTGCAAAAAAGACTCACACCCACACATAGTTAGATCAAGTCATTATAAGAAAAAAAACAAAAAAAACAAATTGTGTTCACTGAAAAGCTCAAACTGACCCTTTGGTAAGAGGAGTTTCCGTTTCACTGACTCTTTGCACCGTGGCGTAATTGTAACTATAAAATTTGATCAGGTAATGTGAAGTTCTGGAAATAGAAGATAACATTGTTGAAACTCACACCCACGTTTGAGCTGCAAGTTGCCTTTCAGAAAAGGTCTAATTTCATACATGACAAGCATCCAAAAATACACTTCCCAGCGCTGCCTGTCCTCCGTGACAGAGAGATACTGCTAAGAGAGGATGTGAGTGTGTAACTGCACTTGGACTTTTCTCCAGCGGGGTCAAGTGCTTTACCGCTGCAGATTCATGCTTAATCTAAGGATGACCTGCAAGCTTACCACTTCCTTTGCTAGGAGAGGGAGGGGAAGAGACAGAGAGAGAATAAAAAAAAGAAGCTTGAATTGCTGGGGTGAACACGAATGCTTCGAATCAAGCCAGTGGGTAGATTTTTGGATTAACATGAGATATGACTCCAAAGCCACGATTTAGATGGAATTTCTACACAGCACACTGTTATGTGAATGACATTAGATGAATATTGGGCAGTTATACAAGAAAACCTCACTAAAAACACTCAAGAGGGTTAGCAGCAAAGTAACCCAGACACCGATCATCCCTGACAGAAGTGTAAGGCTTAGTGTGCACTCAATAATTCAGACTACAGAATATTTCTATTTTCTTCCCACCCAACCTCATCTCTCTCTCCCTCTGCATCAACAATTTATTGCTTCTGTAACTGTGCGATCAGACTAGCTCCGTTCACTATAACCTTGTCCTTTATCGTAATCCTCGGCACACAAAGAAAGCAATAAAAGAGGGGACAGCAACAAAGACAAAGAGAGGAAGAGCAGGATGAAGCTGAGGGTAGACTTTAGAATGAGGAAAAAGCACTTCAGCACCTGGGTGCTTCTGAGTGGTGGGGGGGTGAGAATCATGTTTTGGATTGTTTTAATCTATAACTGGTGGTGAATAGGGATGAGTACCGGTATCCGGTGCGTAACCAAACCAAAAAGCAGCGCACATTTCGGTGCTTTATTTCGGTGCTTTTTTTTCCTGAGCTGTGATACACTTTAGATTCTAGCCAATCATTTTACGTTTCCGAGGATAGTAGGCGGGTCCAGGTACGTACGTTCTGTTAGAGCAGAGCTACAGATTAAAATGCCCAAGGCAAAGCGGTCAAAAGTCTGGTTGTACTTCACAGCAAAATATACAAACTCAGCAGCCTGCAACAAGTGCTTTAAGCTGATACTGTGATACTGTGCAAAGGAGGTAGCACCCCAAATCCGATGAAACACGTGGCGACGCATAACGTTTTTTTAAAAGCCGAGAAATGCGCCGTATTTGATAGCTTGCCTGCGAGACCTCACACCGAGCACGTCTACTGCGGGTGCGGTGCCTGTTATCGGACCCGGAGTTAGCAACATCCCCCAAAAACCCGAAGAGGAGAGTCCTGGCCCCTAGCCCTGCCAGTGTAGCAGAAATGATGACGGATGATGATGCAGCA